CTGTGACATGAGAGTGTGGTACTGTCCTAAGTGAACATGGAGTTTGCAATTTAGAAGCTCCCTCCAACACTCTCTGTACCAAGATAAGCAAGGTCTGGAAGGAGACAGCTGCAGCCACACCTCTCAAACTTGTCTGGATCTACATCGAGGTTAGCCCAGTGCAGCCTTGTCTAGAAAAACACACACAATCTTCTCTCTCCTGGATACAGGATGCATTGAAAAGCTATTTCACTATCCTCTCTTCTTTGTAGAAATAGAACTTCGGTCTAGGTCTAGGTTGTTGTTTGTCACCTCCCTTCCTTGACAGCTACCCCAGTACCACAGTCTGCGTCACCAACACTGCATCCTTTGTTGCATAACCATGGGGAGTGGCATCCACATCCACAACAGGAAATGTGTCCCTTTCTCTGAATGTTACCCTGGAGATGGATGGCCAAGAAGCCCTGCACAGCACACGCTGCTTCTGATGTAGACATCTACATGTTAGAAGAAGCAGAGAAATGCATGGATTCACAGAGTCTCTTGGTCATTCCTTACTCGACAGATTAAAAGAAGGAGCGATAGGAAAGAGCGGTTAAGCTTGGTGATTAGGAGACTGTTAATGCCATTAGCAGCTGAATAGAGACAGAGAAAGGCCAGAGCTTCTCCAAAGGAAACCAGGGGTGGTTCAGTCCAGCTGCAGTTAATCAGAGGTAGAGGTGGGAAGTGAGTTTTATCTCACACAGGCTGAGATTCACAGGTTTAAAAGAAAAGAGTGTGCGGGCGGTGGTGGCACACGCCTTTAATCCCAGCATTTAGGAGGCAGAGGCAGGCGGATTTCTGAGTTCGAGGCTAGCCTGGTCTACAGAGTGAATTCCAGGACAGCCTGGGCCACACAAAGAAACCCTGTATCGAAAAACCAAAAAAGAAAGAAGAGAAAGAGAAGAGAAAAGGGTTTGTAAAAGCAGCTTTTTTTTTCAACTGTGGTAATTGTCTCCCAGGCTTACTGCCTCAGTCTGCTAACCTAGGCCTAGACTTGGAAACTTCTAGTCTCCTTACAGTCTAATCTAGACCTAGAATGTTTCAGCCTCTGAGACCTGATGCTGAATAAGCTCATCCTTCCTAGTTCTTTCTGATCTCTGGCTGGCTGGTTCAACTCAACTGTTCTGGCAAAAAACTCCTCCCCAAACTGACTGATTCAATCTGGCTTCTCTCTCGGCCTCTCCTGAATTGCTCTGCTTGGCTTCAAACTAACTTTGACCATCTGTTCTAATCTTCTGGCTCCTTCTCAGTCTCTGGCTCATCTGTCTTCACCTGTGTCTTCACCTTGTTTTCTCTTCAACCTGTCCCTGTTAAACGCTTCCAGTAAAACTGTTTCTTTTCTTCTTCCTCTCTACCCTGCTTCCTTAAGTAGCTTCCCTTTCCCCTCTCTTCTCCTGATGGTTGGGTATATCCTATTCTATCAAATCTTTCTCTGATTCGTTACTTTGTCTGCCACTCAATTAGACATCACTTTCAAACATGGGTGCTTTCTTCTACAAACTAACTTTACCTTCATTGTTTGGGATTAAATGTGTGTGCTAAGGGTGAGCCCAACTAGAAACAGATTTTTTTTTTCCTAGTAAATAACACAATCTCAAGGATCACAGGGTAATCAAATATCCTGCAACAGGATGGTTAATAGAAAATATGGGGAAAGTGGAGGGTGAGGAGTGGGAAAGAATTTGTAGTCATCCTGGACAGGCGATATATGAGTCAGAGCTAGCAGGCTATCACTACAGGAAGAGACAAACTGCCTGACCCCTGGAGCAGCCCTACACATGGGAGGGGAGAGTCAGAAGAAAGCCAGGCCTGAAGTGACACATCTGAGAAATCAAGGGGAAAGAAAAAAAGGAATCACTTAAGGATTCATAGAGGCAAGAGAGAATTTTCCAGTAAGAGGCAGGCCGACTTTCCAGTGAACATTACAGAGAACCATAACGGGGCTGGATGGTCATTAGTGGCTCTTGAGAGGCTGGCTAGGGTATCCACTCCATGAAGAGCGGAGGGGGCTCTGCCACCAGTGCAAGTCACACTGAAGAAAGGCAGCCAGAACTGTGGAAGAGTAAACTGAGCTGGAAGCTCCATTATAAAAAGTTAAAAATAGCCGGGCGGTGGTGGTACACGCCTTTAATCCCAGCACTTGGGAGGCAGAGGCAGGTGGATTTCTGAGTTCGAGGCCAGCCTAGTCTACAGAGTGAGTTCCAGGACAGCCAGAACTACACAGAGAAACCCTGTCTCAAAACAAAACAAAACAAAACAAAACAAAACAAAACAAAACAAAACAAACAAACAAACAAACAAAACAGTTAAAAATAACTATAATTTAAAGACTCTTTAAAATTAAATTAATTAATTTATTCATTGATTTATTGTGCCATTGTGCACGTTTGGAGACCAGAGGACAACCTGTGGGAGTCAGTTCTCTCCTTCCACCATGTGGGACACAGGGATCAAACTTAGGCCATCAGATTTGGTGGCTAGAACCTTTACCTGCTGAGCCATCTTGCCAGCCCTAAAGCTTAATGCTTCTTAGTAAATTCTATACATGAGAGGGAATCACCAGGATACACTGTTGATCCTGATTACATGACTCCAAAGGGGAAGCACTTCTCCATTTACTAGGCAGGAACAAACTGGAACCCACCTGAGGGGAGGACCAGGGGGCTACTTCTGGGATCCTCTCAGCCACAGCAAAAAATAAAAACTTTTCTGCTCCATCCCCGAGGTCTATTAATTTAAGGATGATATTAGCCTTTTTGTAAAGATTATGAAAACAGCCTAAAGAGGAAAAGCAGACTTTAAAAACCTAGCAGGTCAGCACTGCTTGCACATAACCCCGCCTACCCTCAAAAACAAAAAACCAAACAACAAAAACAAACAAACAAACAAAATACAAAACCCTCTCTTCACAAAAGATTAGAACTGGGTCTGTGACTTTCTTTCCCTGTGGGGAATAAATCCCAGACCAAGAATATTCCTGTTGAAATTCCAATAAAGCCTTTAATGACTCCAAAATCTCACCTTAGAGTTGTATTCCACAAGCTCAGGATTAATATTATCATTCACATATATGTTAAAACAAATAAACCTAACAACTAAAGCTATAGTTTTTTAAGTATTGATGGCTCCATATGCAATATCATAGCATAATCTTCACACGAACCCTGTGAGATAAAGGACAATTATTAACATTTATTTTTCTAGTTAAGGAGGCTTGGGCAGATCAAGTTTTACACGTTCATTGAAGTAGATAGATACACTAAGAAATAAACCCCCAATTTGTCAAAAATGTCATGATTACCCATGATGTGGCTATGTGATATTCCATTGGATTATTAGCCTTTAAAGTTATATACATTTGATTTTTTTTGTTTTGTTTTGTCTTTGTTTTTGTTTTTGGTTGGTTTTTTGAGACAGGGTTTCTCTGTATAGCCTTGGCTGTCCTGGAACTCACTCTGTAGACCAGGATGGCCTCGAACTCAGAAATCCACCTGCCTCTGCCTCCCAAGTGCTGGGATTAAAGGCATGCACCACCACTGCCCGGCCACATTTGAGTTTTTAAAATTATTTATTTTTATTTTATGTGCATTGGTGGTGTGAGCAGTTGTGAGCAGCCATGTGGGTGCTGGGAAGTGAACCCAAGTGGTCTGGAAGAGCAGTCAGTGCTCTTAACTACAAAGCCATTTCTCCAGCCCCATATTTGACTTGTTTTTGTTTGTTTGTTTGTGTGTTTGGTTGGTTTTTTTAGACAGGGTTTCTCTATGTAGTCCTGGCTGTCCTGGAACTCACTCTGTAGACCAGACTGGCTTCGAACTCAGAAATCCACCTGCCTCTGCCTCCCAAGTGCTGGGATTAAAGGCATGCACCACCACTTAGATGCGCCCGGCTTAGATTTATTTTTTTAATCAGAAAGTTTTTTTTAAGTAGGAAGTCCAGGAAAAGACTATTAGCCTGAACAACAACCAGTTCCAAATTTGATAGTCTTTTTCTCTTAATAAGCCTGTGTGTCCAGTTCTCCTACATAAGAGAGACCAGTATCCCTCAGTGATGCACAGCCTAGGGTGAACAGGAAACTCATGATGAAAACCTAAGACTGTAGGATCTGTGACCCAGAGGCCTGGATTATCATCCCATTCTCTCCTCTTGGTCCTTCCACGGTCTGGGATTCTCGGGGAAGAGTGGCAAATGTGAATGAGTGTTAGGTTAGAGCACACAGCCAAGCTTCAGTGCCAGGACTTTAGGACAACCCTAGAGAAGTCCATACAGTGTAGGACCCAGGACCAAGAGCCAGAGAAATACCAGGTGTGGTGGGCCTGACCTGGCCCTGGCTTCAGAGGAACCACAGCCTCCTACTTGGTGATCTTGGAGGCTATTAGGGATTTCTGTCTCTAAAAGTCTGATGTATGGGGGTGTGGGGGTGCTTAGAGGCATGGTGTATCTGGTGGCTGCTGCCTGGTATTCGTTCCCTTTGGGTGGGAGTTCACTACACGGTGCCTCAACTTCCCTGTGTACAGGGTGCATCCTTTGGCTCCTGTAGCAGCATAGGAGGAACTAAGATCCCAAGCCTTCAGTGTGGTACTTCATCTGAACCCAGACATAGCTGGCAGACCCCAGCATCAACCTCGGACAGCAGAATGGCTCACACCAGCACACTTGGTCACCACAGAAGCCTGGAGAGAAATGAGGCTGAGGACTGCTAAGGTTCGTAAGATGCCTATATAAGACGCTTAAATGTAGCTAAGACCCCATGTTAGCATACACTCTCACATATTAAGAAGACAGGGGAATAACCCAGCAGGTGCCTTAGGCCTTTGGTTATCTGCACTCATGGAGCATCTTCAGGTTAATAGAATTCTGTCACAGAACAGCACCCATTCATTTATTCACTAATTCAATCATTTTATAAGCATTCATTTAACATTCCCAGCTGCTTGGCATAGCTAGTGAAATCCCATGCCTCAAGATGACTATAATCTAACCTCTTCAAAGAGACAGGCAGATGGACAAACAGGATATAATACGATTAGGGCTACACCGGGAGAATCCACCACGGGCATGAAGAAGAATGACACACAGTTCCATCTGGGGCCAGCTAAGAACAAGTGAGGAGAAATGATACTTAGCCATGGGTCTGAAATATAAATGGACATTAGCTAGGATCAGGGAACACTGGTGAGAGAGGACATTCTCAGATGGCAGCATGGTCTCTGTAAGAACCAACCATGAGAATGCAATGTACCATTTTACTCAGCCATGCTCACAGCCATGATAACATACAAAACTACTGTTAACTACCCAAAAGCATATATGCAACAGGAATCCCTAATTCTTATGTCCATCTGTGGACATCCCTTTGCCTAACTCCATACATGCACATGCTGACCGTAAAAGCTGGGGGTGGGGTGGGGTAGGGTGAGGAGATGAAGCAGGATATGGAGACACAGGCAAGCCATGGTATGAGGGAAGGCTGAGCTTCTGAGGCAAGGTTAGAGTTCAAAGGTTTTGCGAGCTCTGAGGGATGGGGTAAAGGATGAGGTGATGGGATAAAGGGTGGGGTGGTGGACACACAGATGGCTTAAGGATGTTTGTTTTGGACATGGCTTGAAAATTCCAATTCCAATAGTTTTTTTGGTAAGGTCCCTCTCAAAACAGCAGCATTAAAAAACGCCAAGTGCTCAAGGAAAGCCCACAAATGCAATCATGCTTCCCTTTGTCCTGCAGACAATTCCATTTGGAAAAGCAAGGAGCCAGAAGGGATGCAGAAGGAAGAGATGCCAGATAGACCAAGAGTACGGTGCGAAGACAGGGCACTGCAGAGGCAGGGTCCTGAAGTAAAAGCAACAAACACCAACTAGACAAGTGAGTGAAGTAACATTAACTTGATTTGTGTCTTAGGAAGTTCACGTGAGAAGAAATGAGGAATGTAGACAAAGGGGAGAAGTTAAGCAGGAATTATGGTGATCAGACTAGCAAGATGGAGGGGAGAATGGTTTTTATAGGGTGTGACATCAGGACACCAGGATGAAGTGTATTTGGGCTCATTTAGAAGGAAGAAGTCATTGTGCGGTACACGGATGAAAAGACCCTTGGAAGGGACCAAGTTGCATTTGCTAAGACAAGGAGGAAGAGTGACAGAGGGGAGAGGGATGTGTTCGGTGTTAGATGTAATGAGTTTAGCGGGCCTGTGTGGCAACCACTGGGCTGCTCCCAGAGTCTGTTAAGCCCGTCGGTCTGGAGAAGCAAGAGGTTCGGACTGGAGACACCCAGTGAATAACAGTAGGAGAAATAAGAACTAAGGTTGAGGTCTGGGGAAGGTTAACAATTATGGTTGGGCCTGATAAGCAGCCCCTTGGGAGTCCACATCTGCCATCATTCTGAAGGGGGGAAAACCAGGGACCCAGAGGAAGCCAGGCAAGAGAGATATGTGTGCTTACTCCACTGGGGTCAGTTGTTAGGCAATACAGAGACAAGGAGGCTCAAGCACAAGAGAGGAGAGAAGACAAGAGGGAGCTGAGGGTAGTGCTGCAGTGGTGTCAGTTTCTGGGTGTCCATCTTACTAGCCCTGAAGAAGCAAACCCCTTTCGTCTTCCTATAGTATGGCCTTTCTGTTGGTATAACCAAGAGTTTAACACAGCTACATGCTTTTTGTTTGTTTCTTTGTTTGTTTTTTTCAAGACAGGGTTGTTCTTCATAGCCCTGATTGTCAGGAAAATAGTTCTGTAGAACAGGCTAGCCTTGAACTCACAAAAATCTGCCTGCCACTGCCTCCCAAGTGCTGGGACTAAAGGCAGGTGCCACCACTGCCCAGAAGTTAGACTTTTATAGTAAGCATCAGGAAGACTTCTCGATGGCTGACCACAGGTGAGAAGCATAGCTCCAACCTTCCCCTAGAACACGTTCATGTACATTTCTAACATGTTGTGGCTCTCTGAATCTCTTCAGTTAGGAAAAGCACATATCTACACATCATCTGGGGCTTAAGCTGCTTTATGGACAGCATGCCCAACAGTAAGTGACTTAGTCCCCTTAGGAATTCTGACACCCTGTTAAGGAATTCTGACACCCTGTTAAAGACTCAGCCTCAGAACAACTAACCCTAATCCTAACCCTAACCCTAACCCTAACCCTAACCCTAACCCTAACCCTAACC